TTTTTAGAACGGCACCTGTGAAAACGCACGTGCCTAATTTGGTTGTGAATGGCTGTCGTTGTAGTTGTGCGTCCAGATGGAGAGAAACGTAGCCGTGGAATTAAATGGGCATCGATAAGTGCCTGGAGCTCTGACACAGAGCCCTGCAGATTTGGGCTGCTGCTTAATGTGGAGGTAGCTGGGGAGGGCCGAGCTGATGCACGTGTAATGGTACAGACTGCTAGCTAGGTAGTAGAGAGGATACCTCCTTAGTCAGCCATAGGTTTTGTATTGGCATGTGTGACTAAAGTGTACGCCTGCTAGCTTCAATGCCACTCAGTCTGTTCAACTAATGACGTTTTGCAAACTGCTGAACTGTCAGGAGTTTTCCACAGGAAGGCGAAAAACACTATGCTGGCCGGGACAGTCTCGTGCCACTGGGAAAGTTTGCCGGCAGAGAGGCTTGTCAGGCTTTGCAGAAATAGGAAACTGCTTAAGTGAAGGTGCTGGAGGAGGGTGTTTTCCAGGAATGCAGCTACAGGAACTCAGACAAATCTGTGCTCTGACAGTCATGTCCCAGCATCTGTAGGAGAGCTCTCCCTGTCACATCTGAGCTATCCAAGCTCTGTTATCTGTATCAAGCTTGTGTCGCTGAGGCTAAGCATTTCATCGTTGCTGAACACCGACCTTGCCCAGACTCCGACGCTGAGGAAAGTCAGTGGGAGTCTTTCTATTCATTTGTAAGGGCTTTGATTCAGGTGCTGGGAGAGGAGCCAGTTTGTGGTTCTGACGCCAGAAGAGAGGGAACTGCGTCTGTGAGTGAAAAACTAGTGTCGTTTCCTTGAACCCCCAAGGCATCTTTCCTAGCTCCAAAACAAACTTATCCCATGGAAACTTCATAGAAGGCCGAGTAATTAAAATATTACGCAGCGGCAAGTTTCTGCTGCTTCGGGGCAGCTAGGAGGAGATAGGTTTATCAGCTGGTTTATCAGTTTTAAGCCCCGGGATGGCAGTGGCAGTTGGCTCGGGCAGTGCTTTGAAGTATGTGATGTCATAAGGACTTAATTTCTTTTTTAAAATAAAATGTTTTTCGTTTAAGGGGAATATCGCCTTGTGTTTCTTGAAGGAGAATGATTTTTTTCTACCCCATGTTATAGTAGTTGACTATTTTTGCTTGGAATAGCATATGCGAGGTGGAGTTTTTAGGAGGTTATTAGACTTTGTCATCGTATTGGAGAACGGTGAACAGCCAGGTCCGAGGATCAGTCTCCAGGGGAGGTATCTCCACATTTTGTAGGGAGCTGTGCAGTACCGCTCGTACGGAAGCACGGCTGCAGCCCCAGGGGGCTGACCCCTGCCCGCATGCAGTGAGGGGTGGGTCCTCCAGAGTGTCCCCACTGGGAGAGGGAACTCCTGCTCTGTGCAAGGAGCAGCGTCAGCTTTCGTCTCCTCTGAAAAGATCTTCTCTGTTGCCTTTCTCCGCTCCCAGCCTGAGTTCAGCACTGTCAATAGTGCCCAGTAATTCCATTGAAAAACAAACATATGAATGAACCTGTGTGTTTGCTTAAATAATAAGTATTTACACACTAAGGTATGTTTATCTTATTTCCTTAAACAGTCCCCTACTGGGGATAGACATAAATAGTTTAATTTCCCCAGGACTTTGTAAACACTGATTTAAAAGTAACAGGAGCAGCGCGCTGACTGTGCTTGTTCACTCATTAAAGCCCTCTAGGAAGTCTCCAAATTGTACATGCAGCTCATCACTACCAACTGTGTTCCTGCGAGTGCCATCACTGTTTCTCCACCACCTCCTCCTCCCCTGTGTTCTGCAGCCACCTGTCACGCCTCGAATTTTCCACGTTTGCGCCCCTCTTCCAAGTAGTCCCTATCTCCAGGAAGTCAGAGAGACAGGACAAAGAGCAAGGTACTCCTGCAGGTAAGGGTGCCTGCCAGCATGGGTGGAAGTCCTTTGGGGCAGGAACTGTCTGTTCAGACCTGTTACAAGGGCTTGCCAGCTGAATTCAACAAGCGACACGTTCGCAGCTGAGAGGGAGGTACGAGTTGAGGCCGGAGAGAGGACTGCAGGCAGGGTGTGGTGAGAGGGATGCTGAAGCAGGGCAGATGGGAATTCCCCTCCTCTCCTTTGAGTAGGCAACTCAGCGCTCTCACGCTTTCTGCGCTCCTCCACCTGAGGCTGGTCTGGAGGCAGCTTGCGGCAGTGCTGGGAGTGGCAGAGAGGACAAGTGGGGTTTTCTGGCTCCTGGTCCTGTGGTGTACAGGGGGTGGAACGAGGCCAGGAGGCTCGTGGTGAGGACAGCGGTGTCCTCTGGCAGGGATTGACTGCGGTTCCTCCCATCTCCTTCGCTGCAGAAGCAGCAAGTGAAGGGTGTGGAGTGTATACCATGGAGGTGTGAGAAGGCAACATATTGCCTTGCACATCAAACTATCACACTACACAATACGGAAATCTTGTTGTGGGTTTGTGTTTGAAACCAAAGCTCTCATTAAGTTCTCATTTAGAAACCTGGTTGATTGCTCTAGTGAATGGAGTTTTTCACTCTGAACACTGACTGTGAGGATGCTGAGGAGCAAGGGGACCCTCTCCGCTTGCTCTGCACTGACCCTCCAAATTTTAGCCCAAGTGGGCTCACCTGCTGGTGGCAACATCTACCTTCGGGCAACTGTTTTGTAGCTTGCAGCCTACACTTGCTCTCAGCTGTACTGTTGTCTGATTCCTCCTCTTTGGTGATGTAGAAGAGAAAAAAGCACATGGCATCATATCTCACCAGGCATGAATTACTTCTGGAGCTGGAAAGCAGGGCAGTTCCCTCAGGTGTCCAGAGAACTGAACGCTGGCATATTTTCTGCTACTGCCTCTTATACATGTGTAGGAATAAAACCAGAGGAAGGGTAAAATCCACATTTAGTTTAGGGCCAGTTGCAGCTCTGAGGTTGCTGAGATGTGGACTTACGTGACTGATAATATTTACATAGACAGGCTGTATTTAGTTGGGAAGAACCTCTTTGTGGTGCAGTTTATGGCAGGGGACATACTTCCTCACTTTCAGATTTAATGTGCTTGCATTTGTGTTTCCTGGAGGTCCCTGTTCTCTCTGGTTCGTTCTGTTGTGGTGCTTCCTTTTTCCTGAAAAAGCTGGTGGTTCTCCACATGATCTAACTTTTACTTCAGTGCAGAGGGCGGATTACCTCCCACAGGAGCCTTAATGTGTGGGGCAGGAGATGGGAAAGAGATGAGCCATATGCTTATTTGCACAGCTAACATGAAACTGAAACCAGTATTTTCAAAGTGCCTGACTTTAATTTGGTCATATGTGTAATTCTATTAGACTTATTGTTATTAGAACAAATAATCTAGTTTAGGCCCCTCCTCAACCCCAGTGAATTCGAGTGGCTGCAGACACATGGGTTGCAGTGAGAGAGACAGCCAGCAATGCGCAGCAGAAAGCAAATTAATCTGCAAGAAGATGAATTGAACTTTGACAATTTTATTTGATTAGGAGAAGAATTAGAGAAAATCGCGGGAGGTGCACTCACCCAATGGCTCACACTAATGGAGATGGGTGGTAGAGTGGCAGCTGCTCTCCAGGGGCATGGGTCACTGTTGAGCATGGGGCACCATGATGCCGGGGTGCAGCTATAGCCCACTGGAGTCCTATTTTAAGGCGAGGGTGGGAGGACAATAGTGAAAAGCTGGCTGCTGGCCTTCTGCGCTGGGTTTGTTGGGGTGTTTTTTCCTGTAACCTGGTGCAGACAGGAGTGTTTGTTTATTCACAGGTCATCTGGGTTTTACAAAGTCATGACCTGGTTTTGTTCGCTGCAGCAGGGGCTGGAGCCAGACCTATTACACAAAGTAAAGCAGGGAGTGCTTTTTCTTCTGGGTTCTCCCCTCTCCTTCCTGAGATCTCTGGCTCTGTATTTCACAGCGCCGAGGCAGGGGTTTGGTGCCCTGCCTTCTGTTCAGCACATCTACACCTACTCCACCATACCCGCATCTCCTCCGTCTGGCCCAATCTGCAAAGGTACTCAAACACCCACGGCACTGTTAAAAGTCAGTGCGCTCTGCGTAGGCTCAACACCTCTGAAAATCAGGCCTGCGTTGTCCCACTCACATATGCACCCTCACTGCTGTCTGCATCCCCTACGCTCCCTCTGTCTCCCTCCCTGATTTGGTGCCTGTCTCTCGATCTTTGGCTGGGTAAGAGTCACGTTCAGCCAAACGCTGCAAAGTTGAAGTCACGGCCAGTGACTACTGTTCAGTGTTTGTGCTGTAACAACCCAGCTTACAGCAGCAAGCACCAGAGCTGTTATCTGCTATGGCAAAGCTGCAGGATAAGGAATCTGTCCATGCTTAGAGTAAGCAAAGCAAAGGGACTGCCAGGGTGACGAAGGGGCGTTTGCTCATTCCATCTGCTCAGGCTCAGTTTGCTCAGAATCACATTGCTGTGAGGCTCATTATTTTCTTCTACTTTTTTTCCCCCCTTTCAGTTTGAGATGGGAAAGACAAGTTCTGCCCTTATTATAGTTCCCATGGAGACAGATTTGATGCTGTACATTAAAGGGGGGTGAGGCAGGCACAGTCAGCTCTTCGCCTGGGCCAGCAGTTCCTGCTGGTTCCTGTGTACGGCATCTCTCCCAGTGGGAACTTCAGCAGGTTGCTTCTCAGCTGACTGGGCTCTTAGAGGGGCAAAGCATGGGGGCTTTGCTGGATTTAATCAAAAGGCAGTATCCCCGTTCTGTTCATCCAGATGTTAGAGGACCATTCCCAGCTCTCCAAGCTGCCTCTCACCACTGGAGCTAAATTAGAACAGCTCTGAAGCACTCAAGAGACAGGAATGTGAGATTTCTGGGCTCTGCTCATTGCTCCAGTACTGTCCTCCTCTGCTGCCCTGGTCAGCTCTCTTGCACCCTAAGACCCATTTTTTCCAGCTACATCAAGGATGCGGAAGGTGCCTCCCTTCCTCAGGAAGGAGGGGGTTAGAGCTGCTTTCCTTGCAGAGGTTGCAGAGGGCCTGTGGAGGCCCTGCTCATTCTTAGCCCTGGTAATGCGCTGGTTCATGTGAGGTGGAGCAGGCTCTGTCTTGTGCAGCTGCCCCATGGCAACATGCCAGGTTTGCTGGGAGAACAGTCAAATCGTTTTGCATTTCACATCCAGATGTGACTGAGGCCCAGGGAACCTTGTGAGGTTCTTTGTTTTCAGAAGCAGGAAAAACAAACAAACAAACAAGCCATATCCTCCTCTCTTATTCTTTGGATGTGAGGCTGCAGGGCATAGCAGCTGTGCTGACTCTGCTGTCACCGCAGGTGTGCGCTGTGGCTACTCCTGCCTGGAGATTTCCACCTTCACACTTCAAAGTCTGTGAAATGAGTAAACTTTGACGTTGTCCGTTTTAGCATCTGAGTAGCCACTTCCATGGCATCAATGAAATGCTCACAATGTGTCTTCAAATGCAGAAGGGTTAATTTGGACTGACTGATGGGAGATCTGTCAGATGCATTCTTCTGTGAGTCCTTGTTCATCGGGCAAGAAATTGTCCAGTGGGGTACCTCAGCTGAACAAGCACGTGTATGACTGGGCCCTGCGCTTTTACAGCGGATGAAGCAGCAAGGCGGGATCCAGGTTTCATGTGGACCAGAAAAGTTGCCAAAGAATGTTTGTGGAAATTTGCTGAGGTACTGGCTCGCTTTTTTGTGCATCCTGGCTGCTTTAACATTAGAGAGGTCATAGCTTCCACCATTAAAATTTTCCTCAGAGATCTGCCTGAGAGGTCATGAAGCATACAGCTGATTTTAGAAGATGAGTAGAACATGCTTCTTTTTTTATGGACCCTCTATGGGGATGTTTTCCCTAACAGGAAAAATGGTGCTGCGCAAATTTTTCCCATTCGGCAGAGAAGTGAAAGAGGAAATAAAATACAAAAAACCAAAACCAGTTAGCACATTCCCTAGGAAAAATAAGGGAAGGTAACAGCAATGAATATAAATTAGAAGCTAGAAAGTGTAGGTGTCTGATAAGGGAGGTTAAAGGAATCAATGAGATAGTAATGAGCAGGAGAGCTAACGATGAAACAAAAGGGTCTTCCAGCACATCAACACATTAGGAAACAATGCAATGCTAAGTCTGGCATAAGTCCTTTGCTAGATGCACATGATAAAGTCATAACAGAAAAAGAAAGCTTAGATGAAACTCTAATATATGGGTTATTGTCCAAATCACCCTTCTCACTGCCTGTCCTCGTTATCACTAGACTGCCAGATAAGAAAAGAAAAAGTGTTGGCCAGATATTCAGGTAGCATAAATTGTTATGATAATTTTACCTAGGTCTTAACCTAGTCCATTTTTTACTTCATGCACTTTATTGAGGACTGCAGTACCACTACTTCATTCCTTCAGAAAGAATGCTGAGAGACAAGGGGACTCATCTAAATCACTACTGCTGGTTAGAAGCAGCACCAGGAATAAGGTCCTCTTCTGCAGGGTCCTGTCCGCTTGCATACAGTCCGGCGGTGTCTGTAATACCGGGTGACGTACTCTTACGTCAGTGTGGCCCTGCACTGATTTGTACCCAGTGAGCAATTGCTCCCCAGAGGTGCCGATCCCTGGAAAAATAGATTCCAAAGTTGAAAGTCTTGCCCCTCTGAAGCTGCCAGTGCAGTTATCACTAATTTCATCTGTGGATTTTTAAGGCTAGAAAAAGACTTCTATACTCATCTTATCTGCTCTCCTACCTACACAAGAAAGACACAAACACAAGAAAAATTAAACTGTAGCTAAGGAAATGTCTGTGTGATTAATTCCAAATTATCACAGGGGAATAATAAAAAAGAAATAGACCAATTGTTTTCTTTAATAACAATAATAATAACAAAAAAAACCCAAACGCTATTTAAATCTGTAGGGATTTAAAACAGCTGTGA